TGTTTACAGAATTATTGGTTGCTGGTTTCCACTTATTTTGCGAACTGAATAAATATATATTATTTGATCTTTTTTTTAAAAAAACTCCCTCTCTTTTGAGCCCGGCATGGCCAGGTGGTTAGGGCGCTCGACTCGCAATCTGAGGGTCGTGAATTCGAATCCCCGTCCCACCAAAAATGCTCGCCTTTTCAGCCGTGGGGGCGTTATAATGTGTCGGTCAATCCCACTATTCATTGGTAAAAGAGTAACCCACGAGTTAGCGGTGGGGGGTGATGACTAGCTGTCTTTTTTTTCTAACCTTTCGCTGCTAAATTATGGACGGCTAGTGTGGATAGCGTGTAGCTTTGCTCGAAATTAAAAACAAACAAACAAACTTAACGTAAAGTATTTCATTACAGTGTATTTCAATTCCAAACACATTATTGAACTTGCACGTGTAAAAGGTTATTCATGGGAGATTTAACATTTCGAACCTTGCAAAGAAATAAGTAATCAGAATTTTTGCAAGTTTACAGAAAACAACAACAACAACAACAAACTCGGAATAATGAATTGAAACATTACGAAACTCTATTGCCTGTGTTATTTCAATTTTTTTTTTTTTGTAGTAAAAGTGGCAATATCGCTTACTGGACTTTTTAATATATCCGTCTAATGGTCTAAAAATACCGTACGTTCATACGTGTTAGGAATGAACAATGACATGAATTTTATTCAGACAAGCTCTTTGTATTATGTAAGTTGGGCGTTTTTGTGTCATTTATTAAGCAAATCATCGTTATGTAAGTAACATTATTTCGATAAACACCATCGAAAGTGCCCCTCCTATCCACCCCTGGATCGGGATTTAGATCTTTTGCGACCTGGGAGGGTCAGGTTCTAGTAGACCTCTTCCTCCATACTGTACTGTTATTATATTATATTATCTTCTTGAGTTTGGGTTTTGGTTGGCTGGTTTGATTTTTTGAATTCTATTATAACTTTCCTTATAAATTATAACAACATGTTGTCAAGCTGTATATCTGTGTGGTCTTATGTTTTGCTTGGTATTTGTGTTCTGTCATGTTTGTGGTAGTAAGAGTAATTATTATAACGCTAAAATTCGGGTTTCAAAACCGAACAAAAACGAACAAACAAATCACCGTGAGCATCAAAAATAATCATTTTATCTTCTAAGAAAAGAAACAAATATATATCTTGTAAGCTCTCATTCCTTTGATAGAACATTTTAAGTCCAATACTGAATGAGGGGAAAAAATTGCATTTATTCAGCAGAATACATCAAAAGTATAAAACTGTCAACAATTTAGGTAAATTAGAAGCATCGTCCTCGAGAATGTTGTTTGAGGTTATAAAAATAACTACTTTCCGGGATAAGTTGTTCAAATGGTATTATTAACAACCAGATATACACTCTTAACTTATGAATGTATTAAAACTCTCATCGGAAACGGCGTTGATTTCTCAAGAGATTGTTCTAGCATATCAACGTATAGGTGATTTCAAAGCGAAACTATTTCAATGAGTCATTAAAACACGTACTTCTTTCCTATAAATTCGAAGTTAAAATTGGAACTTTGCTTTGACCCTAACGTTTTCAGCAAAGTTAGTTAAATAAACTTTTAATGACTTCTAAAGAATTTTAATCTATTCACTTATGAAACGGATTCATAAAAAACAAAACAAAAAACTGGTTAATTAAAGTTTGGTATCAATGAAATGACTCATATATCACGATATCATTTTAGGGACTGTTTCAAAAGAGTCATAACTGGCTGAGGCTTGCATATATTTTAATTATCTTCATTTTTATGTACTTACTTTGATTGCCTATGTAGTACCCCTGTAATAGTTCAGTTCCAAATGTGACTGACCATTCTCTGCATATACTGCGATCAAAATGTGAAAAAAAGACCCAAACACGACGGTTATTTGTAACTGAATGCAATCTTAACCAGCGAGAGACAATTAAACAGTGGGTCAAAAAACTGGTATGGCCAGGTAACGCCATCCTGCTAATGGGAATCTGGTGTTTCTATTAGGGTGTTTATATATATTGTTGTTTTATATATTTGCGTTTGTCAGAGTAAATTGTTTTATAGCGAGAACTGCATAAGCCTCATGTTAAACACGCTGTATTTGTGAACCGATAAATATTGACTTTAACTTCTACCAAATACTTATAGTTCAAACTACTTTATAATGAGCAAAATACAAGAGTAATTGGTTGTGATTTTAATGTAACTCTTTCAAATTTATTATGACCGAAATCAATCAAGGCCAGCATTGTTTTTCCTTAACTATATATATAGTAACTGAGGTTAGTTGTACCATTTTCATCTTTTAGTCAATATATTTTATTTTCAAAATATTATCGACTTTTTTCGATCTTCTTTGAATTTAAGTGTATCAGAAGTTTTCATGTCTATTTACTGAATAGAAGTCAAAGAGAAGAATAGTTGAATAATAATAATGTTTACCAGTAATTATTTAAGTTAGCAAGCATGACATAATAGCGTCTAATTAAGGTTAGAGATATTAATTATGTATCTTCCATTCACAATTTTATCATTCTTTTACTAACTGAAGAGGTTGTCTGAAGTTCTAAAAGGTTCATTATCGAATTCCGTAACTCGTATCTCAACTGATGATTAAGGTAATTCCAAGTCTTGTGTTAGCTGTCCACCCTAGAGTGTAAGCGTGCTGAATAGCCTAATCTGACTTCAGGAAAAACAGCCACTTGAGGCGTGGCGACAAGAGAACTGATGAAAGGTCTCGAAAGGGCGGGTCCTAATCCCACTAAGAATCAAAACCATGAAAGAAAATTAGTTTTAGCAAAGCATGTCAGAAGAAAACTATTTGAACGAGCAGTGATCTATGAGATTGAAGACATTTCAGGGTAGAGAGCACGTGGATATGTTTTTTTTCTTTTTTGCATTTAAACAAAAAAATAGAAATGTAAAAAAAAAACACTATTTTCCAATAAGTTTTTTTTTGCTATCTAAAATTGATAAGCTCCTCCCTCTCACTGTGACTCAGCGGTAAGTCTGAAGGCTTATAACACTAAAAACCGAGTTTCGATACTCGTAAGGGTACAGCAGAAAATGTTCATTGTGTAGCTTTGTGCTTAACAACAAAAGAATAAGAAATATTAACCCGACTTTTATAATCCTTACGCGATATGAATGAAAAATGGAATTTCGTTCAATACGACTTATCCACACTGCGGGAATACTGTTTTCACACAAGCTAACTCAAGATGTTTTCATCTGGACTTTATCAGTTTTGACTGACTATCTCCCAAGTATCAATCGATTAACTCATAAGAAATATATTTCGAGGTCACACCGAAAGTCGACCACTTTCGTTATAGTGGAAATCAATGGAGATTTTGAGAAAAGGTCAGAGAAAATTGAGATAGAAAGAGGATCTTGGCATTTAGACATAAGTGTCTGAGACCGAGGAATCTTTTGGTGTATATTTTAGGAAACACGTCCTAATCTGTAGCATGACATTACAACAAATGATTTTGAAAAGTTGAGCTTTATAAGTCATACGATGCTCTAGATTGTCACCAGCTTTAAATGATAATCCTTAGAAGCCTCAGCTTTTATTACATGTCACTCCTCGAGTAAGCCTAAAACTAGTTGAAGGTAGACTAAAACTTATGGTTACTGTAAAAAGATATACAGTTTTGAAAACCTTTATTCGACAAATTGAATTGTTCTGTACTTATTTTGATAAAGATAAAACTGCGTGTATACGTTTGTGCTTAAGCCCAAAACTACACAGCTGGCTATAAGTACTCAGGCTTACCGTTGAGCCACTAGATGGAAGGAGGGGGGGAGAAAGAAACCGACTTAAAGCATTTATTATAGGAAACACCCAAATAGCAATGGCAATAAGGCTACAAACGTTTTGCTGATAAAATCCAACACCAAATTTGAGCTTGGAAAGGATTGTTAACCTTAAGCTGTATTGTAAGTATTAACCTACCTGGCTAACAGTGTTTGATTTCGTATTAATGTGTAGCTATTAGTTTTCTCTTAAACTATATGTCGAATTAAAGTAGTGTCACAAACTTTTATGTGTTATCTAGTGATCTTAGAGCTTAATATAATGGGCATTACCCCTACTGAGATCATAAATTAGTTTAATTTAATGCGTATTAACCTCTACTTAAGTCCTAAGTGAGCATAACTTAATGCACATTACCCTCTACTTAAGTCATAAATGAGCTTAATCTAATGCACATTACCCTCTTAGTGTTGTCGTAAATGAGTTTAATCTAATGCACATTACCCTCTTACTGTTGTCGTAAATGAGCTCAATGTAATTACAGAAGAAAACCTTATACACGTTTTTATTTATTTTTCTATTAATTTGTTTATTAATTTTATCAATTTAATGATAAGTTTATATAGAACTTAAGCAATAAACCTTTAACACTATTTTGGAAAAGTAAAAGAAAAAAAAGCTCTGTTTTACGTAAAGTTGCAGTCACACTGATTGTTCTCGGAAGATTCTAATGTTAATTAACGTTATTTGGAATTACACCGGAAATAAAATATGTTATTACAGAAATTTTTAGGTTGTATTGTGATTAAATACTCCCCAAATGTTTAAAAAAAATTAAATGTCAAATACGTTCTTGGAGAAACGTTATCTCTGTGCTTTACATAAAAAGCAAAGTTCAGCCTTTACACAAGTTTCGTTTCAGGAGACAATAAAACAGTTTATTGCTTGTGTTCTGGGGGATCTTCAAACAAATTCCCAATATTCGTTTTCATAAGTCACTGTTTTAGGATAAAAGTTTCGTGTCGATTGGTCAACTACAAACTCTGTTGGCACAACTATAATAAAAGATACATCAAAAAAGACTTTTCTTAATTTTTAAACATTTTAATTGCAGTATCAACAGTCAACAGTTTCTTTTAAAAGATAAAAGAAAAACTCTAAGTATTTTTTACCACTTGCATATCCATGAACGTGCTGTTGAACAGCTGCTATAAACCAGTTTAACAACTTGTTTACTCACTGCTTTATTTGTTTGTTGGTTTTTTATGGTAATTCAATAAACATTTAATGCAAAATCGAAGCTTTGCATGTTTTTAACTGGAAGCTCAACAGCCTTTATTTGTCGTTATATCATATACATCTAAACAATGAACAGTTTGAAGATCTTGGTGACGTGACATGAGAGTGAAAACGGAACATAAGACGCATATTCATCTTATAAAAAATAAAAGATAATTCTGGATTACAAGTACGTTTTTCAGAGTATGCTTAGAAATTCGTGCATATCCAAAAATATGTTCATCTGTAACTCTGTTATCAGTTACCAGAGTTTGTTCAGAAAATGAGATAAATGACGGTATTCACCGTTTCTTTTTATAGCGTTTTGACAACACAAGAAGAATCACCATGATCGTTGGATACCATTAATGGACTAATGTTCGGTAAAACAAAATTGATCCGACAGTAATTCAAGATTGTGAGTGATACTTTGTCTACAGTGACATATTACGAATAATGCCCCCACGCCTACTTATTTCGTTTTCCAGTCATTCAAACTCTAGCTTGTAATAGATTATCATGAGCACCAGGGTGTGGACTACCTCTCCCGTTAAGAACAACCAAACTGATTTCTCTTGTTAAATCTCATTGAACCACTTCAGTCAGTTAAGGAATTATTTCTCTGTAAAATAATTGAACAGACTGGTACATATTAAATCGCAACTTAAACCAGTTCTGTCCATTAGTAAGAAAAAGAAAAATAACTTCAGAGAGGATACTTACAGTTATTGTATTACTAGCCCTAAAAAAGCCGCAATGGCGAAACGTTGGTTGAAATTCATATATATATACACATATATATATATATATATATATATTAGCAGTAGTAGAAAAGGTCGTTTTTTTCCTAACTCAATTGTCAAAATGTTTGAATAATAGAGTTCTATAAATTGCAAAAAAAATATCAAATGAAATAACATAACACAAACAGTGTAATTGGTTTGTCTTCGCCAAAAGCTTTAATTTCCTACTGGAATTATGGGGTATTGTATATATAGTTCACAGAGTAACAATTCGTTTTATTTTCAATTTACATTTAACTGAAAGTTGACGAGGTTTATTTAAATAAGTACGAAATAATTTCCTTTTTTCAAAATTCCTCAGGTACTTGACTGTTTTTTTTTTATTATTATTGGACTTTCTGGAAGTGCAAAGTAATTAAAGATCTAAAACTTGTGCATTACTATGCAACCAGGTTTAAGTGTTGCTTGCAATAAATAAATAAATTATGCTTGACGATACCAAGTCCATAATTCCTAAAATTTTTATAATACTACTGTTAAGTCAGACCCTCCATTCATAATTGTATAATGGTTATAGAAATATGGGTAAAAGTATATACCTTTAGTTTTATTTTAATGGATTGGAATGAAGTGTTGATCATATTGGAAAATTATGACGTATGTTCTCGAAAAAAAATTATATACAAGTAGATATTATTACTTCTTTCATTAAATGTACCCCGGTAGCTCAGCTTGGAGGCTTATGACGCTATAATTATTGGATCGATCACTGCGAAGAGTGAAGTGCAGATATTCCATCGTGTAGCTTTCCACTTATATAACAGCAACAACATGGCACGAGTAAAATTTCCGCCGTGGCATGGCTTAGTGGTTGAGGCACACGACTAGCAATCTAATCCATGGGTCGAGGGATCGAAACCCATCACCGAACATGCTCGCCTTTTCATCCGTGGTGGTGTTATAATTTGGTTGGTTATCAGTCCCTTTATTATTTGTTAAAGAGTAACCCAACAGTTGACGGTGGGTGATGTTGACTACCTGCCTTCCCTATAGACTATCACTTGAAAACTAGGCACGACCAGCGTACATAATAGGCCTCGAGTAGCTTTGCGAGAAAATTTAACAAACATTACAATTTCTTTTAAGACGGTTCTGCCATCTGTTAAACATTTTGGAAAGCACAGGTGCTTTTCATCTGAAATCATATCGATTAGAGACGAAAATCTTATTCAAAATATAACTAACGCTTTCCGACTTTTCACTGCACACTAACGCAATATAATTTGTATCCATAATTAATTCTTCACATTGCTTCCAAAAGTTTCCTTAGAGAATAATTTATTTAAATTGTTTCATTAAAGTGTCTGCTCATTTCAAGTCTTTGTGTTATTCGCACAAATTATGTTAAATACCACCAGGGGAAAGAAGAGAGCCATATCTATAAAATTTGGGAAGTAAGCACACATGAATAGATATCTGCTCTGCAGTCTTTCGAAATTAAACAGGAAGGAAAGAAGTAAAAAAAGAGGACTCGTCAACAGCAGTACCTGAATTATTATTAGTTGGAATTTGGTCGTCACGTACGAAAAATTATAAAAAGTAGACAACCCAAAACACGTAAACATGGAAAAGTAAAAAAGTGGCACATTCTATTCTGTGTCACAAGGAAAGCGGATCTGCAAAAGCAACGTTAAACAAGTAAGAACAGTAAGCTAAAACAAAAATCTACAACCCATGCAAACCAAAGAACCAACGACGAAAAATGTTGGTGGCTGTGACTCTTTATAGTAACGAACATGGAAAAGATTGCACTGAGGAAAATGTGTTAGGACAGACTTACACTTCATCGAAAGTAACTTGTCAGAAGTAATATAACTCATAAACATAAACACAGCATCCACGGATATGTTTATCAAACGCCATTTTCTGAAGCCGAGGAGGAGGAAAGAGAGGGGAAAAAGCAGAAAAGTAACAGGATATTCTAAAAGGCATGTCGGGGGAGTTTCGACTGGAGCGATACACTGTCATGATTACTTAAACATTGAAAAGGAGACAAGCATACGAAAATAAATCAAAAACCTGTCATTCCCTTTCCATGAATAAATGAACTATCTATAGTATTTTTCAGAGTTTTCACAACGTAAAATGAAGAAGACTAGCATAACCCAAAAAACGGGGGTGTCCTCGAGATTACCCTAATCTTCACAATGATATTAGGCCTGTTTTCCCAATCAAAAAAGAAATAGTATAAAACATGCGTAAAAACCAGCAAAGACTCCTCCTTGCCTTGTAGCGCAGAAATGAGTCCCTCAAAAAAGTTTTATGTCGTATTTTTGATTTCGAAGTATTTTCCACGCTTGTTCTAAAATAAAAATAAAATAAGAAGAAAGAGGTTAGCTCGGACATTTGTTTCATTTTGCTTTCTGTTACACAACCAGCAAAACGCCTAAGAAACGTAAGAAGTCTACAGTTTAAATATTTAACTCCGACATTTTTCTGAAATGTGCTACCTTTCTCTTTGGCAACTTTAAAAAAAATTGCTTTAAAAAGGGAGTCAACCAAGAATCCTTAGTGACCTCTTAACTGTATGGTTTTTTCATTACTTTATTTTATGCAATTGCACTCGGACAAAACGAGAATCATACATGAGATAAACTCCTGAAAAGCTATCCTCAGTAATCTATCAAAAAAAACATCAGTTAGCCTTTCTCTCAACTTTCTCTCAGCCGTAAGTGATTTCAGTCATGTTTTGTCTCGAATGTCAGTCGGCACCTCTTGTATGAACTGGCAAACCAAATATTAGTAAACTGCATATGGTACATCTACTGGTGATATTTCTCTTGGGATATATCGAGCAGAGATTGTCAACATTTTCATTCGATTTCTTTGTCCTGTTATTATTGTTGTTTTGTTCTGTTTGAAAACAATAGTTAAGGAGTTTTTTTCAGCTGACTTATTTTTTCTTCCCGATTTCGTATGATCATACCAGTCCATTTTCAGCACGGTAGAAAATCCATAAAGTCGCAAAATGCGTTGGCTGGCCATACCCTAGCGGTTAGGGTACCAACATGTGAAGACAAAGGTCTACGTTTCGCGTCCTGTTGCCTCGGAATTGCGCATTGCACTTTTAGGCTGTGTGTGTGTTATAAAAGTAACGGTCAGATCCTACTATTCGATTAGGGTAGCCAAACAGCTCTTAGTGGGTGCTTTTGACTAATAACCTCTTTCAAATTAGGGACAGCTATCACAACCAACCCTTATGTAGCTTCTCAAGAATATCAGAAATAAGCAAATACTTAATTGACAAACAGGGGTCGTTTACTTATATTGCGGATGATAGTTTGTTTTGTCCAAGAGTCCGAGCAACCATACTGTCAGTTTGGAAGCAGTTTATACATTCTAATAACGGCACTTTGAAACTTGTTTACAATAGCCTATTATGAGTGACTGAATTCTGTTCGTCCGATAGATCTCCAAAAAAAGTGAAATCCAAATGTTCTCTCCGAAGTCTAACATGGTTAAAATAATTTTGAGCACTTTATCTTCTGTGATTCATTTCAAAGTAACAAATGAGATAATATTATGTGAGACAATTATGCATTTTAGATCAAATAACTGACCTTTACATGCCTGATTTACATAACACTTAACTGGAGCTGATTGGCATTATTTTATAATAATTATTTTGCTTTTTCCAGGTTATAACATTACAAGTTTCAATTATCTGGTTTTGTTCAAAATACTTCTAACATTTTCGCATAATGATCTCCTTAAGGAAAAACATATACTTTACTTCAACCTCAATTTAAATAATATCATACAAATGAAAAATATATATACTAACGTTAACGAACTTATATAACTTGTAGTTCGACCCCTTATAATGATTGAGAATGATTAAATATGTACAGTAGCTCGACAGAATATAACTTGATTCTAAGTTGCATGATGTGTTTAACACCGAGAAATACGAGAAGGCCCTAAAAGGGAAATGTGTTCTATTCCTAATAATAACATAGAACAAAAATTATATAAAAAAATAACATCAAGCAAGTTAATAAAAATAAAATACCATATTGATAAAAGGCAGTAGCTAAGTTTGTGACACTGGCAGCCTCTGTGTCCCGTAATTGAGGTCGTTGTCAGTTACGGTTTCAGCTGCTGGTTTTCTTTGCACCTGTTTGCATTCAGTGTTGAGTGCAACAGTTAGAAATGCAATGTATGCTATATAAATTGTTTTTCATGTTGTGATCATGGGCTTCGCCGGAGGATGGGGAGGTCGTTTCTGAAAGTAATATTACTTACAGGCCTAAGTGAGCCGTCAGCCATTAGCAGTTCATTGCAAAGTTCATGTCCGTTTCGCGTCGATAATTTTGCATAAGTGGAAATTGTACTGCAATGTAACTGTACAACAAACCCCCTGCGACACGCAGTTGATCCCCGACAAGTTCCCCTTGCGAAACGCAATTGACACCTGACAAACCCCCTTGCAACGTCCATGATAATAGACATTCATAACAAAAACAAAACATAAAGACAAAAACAAAATTTGTGAGAGTGAAAAGATACACGACAATGCTAGTGATGATAACATTTCAACAAAGGTACCCCTGCTACTTGCAACATTACATAGCACTTCTGTCTGGTAGTTCAACAAAGGTACCCCTGCTACTTGCAACATTACATAGCACTTCTGTCTGGTAGTTCAACAAAGGTACCCCTGCTACTTGCAACATTACATAGCACTTCGTCTGGTAGTTCAACAA